AAACATTTTCAGCTGCACCCAGAAACGTAATCAGTCCGTGCAGATGTTGAGAATTGTTTCCGATGTGAGTCCGAGATACGTTTTGATGCCCATCATTGTCACAGCGGCTTGTTTTTGAATCCCCTGGAAAATTCCCATAAGCATCTTAGCCATTTCTGCAGTATAAAGCTCAAGCATAGAGCATATTGCAGCACCCGCTGTGCTCTATTATTAACTTTGGTCATAGACTGGGCAATTATTTAAGGTTACTCCAGTTCACAGGGCCTAATGGCATGTTGCACTGTCTGGCAGACAGTCAGCCAGTCTCCGTCTACCCAGTGATAGAATAGACTTCTGATTTATCTGCGATGTGATTTTTCACCACTAAATAAACTTTTTGAATAAAGTCTGCTCTGTGCTGAACAATGAGACCTTTCATTTCATCTAATTTGATCACAATGGGTCAAAAAATGTGCCTCTAATGCTTCTGTCGTTCTCTCTGCTGTCATCTTGCTCAGAGAATGGATGCAGAATGCATGGACAGCCTATTTCACAATTGCAGAGACCGTGCATCTCACAAGAGTGTTCTTAACTAATGACTATCTACATACAATAATTCATCCAGTTTAGAAAGTTTCTGCTCTCTGACCTCCCCTCAAGGCAGGTCAGAAACTTTCTAGCTGGTAAGGTTTGACGGACACTTCCGCAGAGTGGATGTGTGCCAACCAGTGGGCCTGAGTCGGCTTCTAAGGATGAATCATTGTCTTTCTAACTGCTTGGCAAGTCTTCCACCTACAGTGCTGTACAAGAAAACATTTTCTACTCCCACAGTTTGTGTTACTTATGTTTGTTATGAAATATGCGAAGATTTTTTTGTTGCTGCACTCCCCTCAACTAACATTACACGCCACCTCTTCCTCTCAGTCAGCACTGTTAGAACGGCCTCGGGCCAGACACACAGTATGGTGAGTCTGATTCCTTGGATCAGTTTTACTCCAGCAAACATAGATCAAGCAAATCGGTCACTCACACCGTCACATGTTGCTCATGACTGAGTGCCCTGGGCACTGTTCTTGTGTCTCAAGATGAGCTTCCCTGTGAGTCAGCGCTTAGTGTGACAACAACACATGCAGGGCTTAATTAAATAAAACACTTTGTCTGACACAAATGTGCGATATATGGAATGCATGTTGTTGGCAGCGAACAGAAAAGGGGTCCTTTGGAGTTCACAGTATCTCAAAGGCATGTTTAGGCCTTTACACACCATGTGCACGCTGCTGTTGTAGTTGGGCAATCAGTCTGGCCACGAATCAAACATAGTTTTTGGAGTGTAGGTTTGGCACGTTGGCATTTCTCTCTTTGACAGGATGTTCCGAACAACTAATTCCCTGCAGATTAGTTGGAAACGTAAAATAAGGCCAGTGGTACTAGTTTAGAAGTAAGAATCAGAACAGTTGAAATTCAGCACAGTTTAATCAAGATGGATAAACATCATCTGAACAAAATAAAGTGCACATTTAAGAGCCATTTGAAATGATCGATCACGTTCCTAAGTGACCAAATGGTGTTTTAGGTACAGCTGAAATGTGTGGCACTGTCATGCAAAACACAACAACTCACCATAGCGTGCAAGTAACATGTAAAACACCTTTTTTGTTACGCGTTGCTGCAGTCAGTGTTTTAAATTCCAGCTAATTCTGACACAGTCTACATGCAACCTTATTTCCCTTTTCTAGTGCAAAATTAAGCCAAACCACGCTGGTTTTGTGGCGTCATCTTTTGCCACTTCCCACCTTACTGGTTAACAGCTTGTGTAACACCGTAGACCCAGCAGGGGTTGCACATAGACGAAATATTGATATTTTAATAATTTCTCTTGCTGATAATCGAGTCCAGCTATGTTTAGTCATTTAGATGATGACTGAGCGTGTTGAGTTCTTGGAGGCGGTAGTTTCTTCATATTTTTTCACGTCTGATTTTCTGTCCGTGCAAGTGTTGGATTGTCATTTTATTCAATTGCCACGTTGATTTTTGCAAAAATATGTAATCAGTTATGTGATGGATTTCTATTACCGTAATTTCCGAACTATTGAGGCACCTGAATATAAGCTGCACCCACTAACTTTAAAAAGAAAGCAAGTTTTGGACATATATCGGCTGCACTTGTCTATAAGCTGCAGGTGTCCACATTGTAACATGAGATATTTACACAGAAAGACTTTTAACTTTTAATTATGAGATATTTACACAGAAAGACTTTACGGTAACGTACACAAATACCATAAATGCTTTTTGCCTGTAACACAGCTGGTTAAAAAAAATAGAAACTACAGCAGCCTACCAGGAAAAGTCATTGTTCGTTATCGTCATCTTCTTGCGCACTAAAACCACTAAAGTCGTCGTCTTCAGTGTCGCAATCAAACAGTGAAAAAGTAAAGTGTGAAAAAAGTAGCGGCTCATAGTCCGGACATCACGTATTTAATGTGCCATGGTCCCTAGAGGATGTGCTCTGTTCGTTTTGGTCACACTTACCTGGCTTTTGTTTCTACTGTGATCATAAAGTTGACTTTTGAGATACACAGTTGGGTATATTTACAACTGTTGAACTGATTGTCGAGAAGTTTGCTCCAAACACTCGAGGTAACCAAGAAGATAAATTCTACTGACTATTGATCTTCGGACTTTTCCTTTAACTCCACCTGCAGTTTTATGTTTTCACTTGATTGCCAGAGCTGTATACATTCATTCACGGTATGGTCCCTAGACCATGACTTTGACACCAACTTAAGATCAATATCTGTGGTGGTTTTAATAAAATGTACTACAGCTGGTAGCGATGATAAGCAAATGTTAGCACGCTAGCATGCCAAAGTACTGCTGTGACAAAACACAAGCTCACAAAGCGGCTCGCCTGCTTGTACACTCGTCTTGTCTTGTTATGCTTCACAAGCAGTAGCCCCTGGGCTAACAGTGCCAGTGAGTTTACAGAGAGCTGCATGACGACAGCGAGCCGGCTGCACAGTAATGGATCATTCTGCCTTTGTAGGTGCTTGCTCTTAAAGGTTGGTTTGGTGTGTCAACATACAGCCCAGAGGCTAAGACCCTGTGTTTGAGTTTTGGTTCAGATAGCGTTGACAATGGTAAACACGCTCGTTCTATCTGGTGCTCCCCTGCTCTGTGCATCAGAGCTTTACCACCACCACGTAAATACAGACACATCTACCTTCCCACTCCTGACTGCAGCCTACTTTTGTCTTCGGTCCAAAGCCACTCCCTCATCCAGTAATGCTGGTCTTGCGCAGGATTAGCAGCTGGGAAGACGAGGGACAGCTGGCATTCTGCAGGCCCACTGAAGCAAATAGACCCAGGTCACTCACACGGCACCGGGCGCAATCGGACAGCTGTCTGGGGATGGGCCGTGGGTAAATTATGAATTTAAAGGGGGAGGAAGAGAGAAGTGAAGGGAAGAAGATGTGATTTAGAAAATAATGACAGCTTCTTTGATATGAAAAGTAAAGAAAAATCTAAGTGACATGGAGGAGCAGTGGTCTGTTTATACGTGATGGTTTTTGTTCTTTCTGGACAAAAGTTCTGTGATGCCACATGAGGATTGTGTGTATTTTAAGCAAACGCGTCGTAAATGGTGAAAGAAATGTTTCTGTAACTAACTTGACTCACTTAATTCTCATAAGTAGAACTGAGTCACTCTTTAACACGGGATTGTGACTGGATGAGAGGGGCGGGATTACTACGAGCCCTGCTGTACTTCTCAGAGAATCAAGCAAGTGACGGCCTGGTTGTGTGACATGTCTGTCATATCTGTCTCGTTCTTCATCTCTGTCTTCATACCTTGCTGTTCTGTGGAAGTCAGACGTTATGTTATTGAATGCGTTTTGCTGCGTGACTCAATGCTGTTGCACAGTTTTCCTTTTAGATTTCTACATGTCTAAATGTTGCTGAACAGAAGAAATGTTAAGATTTATGTAATGCGTGATGTGCTGTAAGGAAAGATGAAGCGCGCTGCTTTCCCTCATTGGTACGGTTGTGATTTTTTTTTTGTTGATTTAACCAGCATTTAGTTATTACAAATTCTCATCATAGACTATGCTTTTAGGCCGAGTGGTTAGCACCATTGCCTCGTAGCTAGAAGGTCGCCGTTTCGCGTCCCGGTGAGGACACCCGGGATCTTTCTGCATGTAGTTTGCAGGTTCTCCGGGGTTTTTTTCTTTCCCTCCGGCTTCCTCCCACAGTCCAGAAACATGCTGAGGTTAATTGGTGATTCTAAATTGTCTGTAGGTGTGAATGTGAGTGTGCTTGGTTGTCTGTCTCTAAGTGTAGCCCTGTGATAGACTGGTTACCTGTCCAGGTGAACCTGCCTTCACCCTGAGTCAGCTGGGATAGACTCCAGCCCCCCCCGTGACCCTAGTGAGGATTAAGAGGTGTATAGATAATGGATGGATGGATGGACTGTGCCATTAATGATGAATAATAACTCATATTGAGTGACAAGTCAGTCACTTAAGTGGGACATATTTATAATTCTACTCAAGGACATTTTGAATTATGAATGCAACAAGCCAGACGGCTCTTACAGCAGGAAGGGTTATCTTTTTCGAGCACGCACCCGCATAGACCAAGTGGCACATACATATGGACTGGATGCATCACACCTGCACTGTCGCCATATTTTGTCAGACATGAGCGCCCTCACAGCTGTTTTGGTCACTGTGTTGTGGTACTGGTGAAATCGTCCTTATGGCTAAACGGACAGGTCGCTTATTGATATGTTACTTGTTTGGTTTTTTGTTTTTAGAAATGATTTTGTATTTACCCTCTAATTTTTGTAGTTTCCTGATAATTACGTAGCAGTTCTCCATCTCACAGGACACGCACCTTCCGAGGTCACAGGAAATCAAACCAATTAAACCAACTGCCGCGAAGGTCAATGTAGTGGGTCGCTCTCCGTCGTTAACATTTTAATTGGCGCCGCTCACCTGAATCTCTCTTTTTGTCCCCACTAGGTATTAAATGAAGAGTGCGATCAGAACTGGTACAAGGCAGAGCTAAACGGAAAAGACGGCTTCATCCCCAAGAACTACATAGAGATGAAAGCCCATCCGTAAGTATGACATACAGCATGCTAATGATGTGTAATGTGAAAGTGTGGTGTATACATATTAATCTGTTAATCACATTCTGGTAACCATTCGTTTCTATTCTCTCTGTCTCTCTACCAAAAAAGTATGTGGACATATTAACCCTCTGATAGCAGTTTCTAGATGTTTTCTGCTCTGGTCACATTTTTACTCACTACAGACTCAACCTAGAAGGTCGAATTAAATACTGTCAGCTTTATTATACAAACCGGAGGTACTATAATACATATCAGTGTGTACATTGCATGAATCATCATTTAGCTCTTTGCCATTTAGATTTATGATTGTACCACCACAGTTGCAGCAAGTGCAGAATTTTAGTTTTTTTTGCAGATTTTGGTTTGAGCAACCAGTAGACAGAAGTGATTTAGGGTTTTGTTGTTGTTGTTTTTTAAAGCAGGTAAAATATCCAACAGTTCTCTTGTTTGTTTTTTGTGTGGTGTGATTTTTTTTTTTTTTAAACCCACTTTCTAACTTGCTGGCAGGTTTTGGGGTTCAGAGCGTTAGCTGTCAGTTTGTCAGGTTGAGTCGACCGTTCTGTTTACTGTGGTGAGAGTTTGTTGTATGGGATGGCTTAGCCGCAGTGTGTGTGTGTGTGTGAGAGAGGGTTTGTGAGTTAAACCACTTTAGACGACGCCTGGTAGGATCCTCAGAGAATCTCTGGACCTGCACTCAGTGCCAGATTACCTCTCTCTTCATTAATGTGCTCGAGACCTCTTACATTTAGCTCAGTATTGACCTCAGCGCGGCGTTGCTGCGGTGCTATCAAATGTGTCCCCTTTTTTTTTTTTTTTGGAAGGTGGATGTTATTGTATTGAGCTTTAGTTTTTATTTTTGTCTGCTGTTTGCTATAGTGTGACCATAATGCTCTTCTCAAGTGGTGCCACTCTTTTATATGGAGAATCAATCCGTAGCTGGGCCTCACACATCAATACAACTCCTGTAATCATTATAAAGGTTCTCTGGAGGTGTTATAGCTGTTATAGAAACACAAAAAATACACAAAGGTTGCACTTAACATACAGTTAAGCATCCTATCTGGGGTGTAGAACACTGAAACGTGCTCTTTATTTGTTAAAAAAAGGTCCTTATTTAAATCGTTGGCTTTGATTAGCACATTATGAGGCGTGTGTGTTGATATCCTCGGTAGCTGTTAAATTAAACAATACCCAAGAGGTAAATCTGGCTACTGATCATTACTTCAATTTCACCCTCTCATCAGGGATTTAGCATTCCAGCCCCATTTAGGAGAGCAGGAAAGGCTGTGCCGCTTAGAAGGCAGTGCATGTGCAGGGCCTGGCATTTCTACACAACACAGGATCTGTTTAGGTGCCTTCCTACTATCTGCTATTGAAGTGAGGCTTTGTATTGCAAAAATAGTGTCCCGTGGAACAGTAGCAGCTTATGCATGGGAACTAATATTTTTCCATATGTAAATATACACACACACACACACACAAAGGTAACTGAGTGTGTGTGTCACAGCTGGAGAACTGTGGATGCTTGTCTCTGCTCAGGATGAACAACAAGTCCTCCGATCCTCAGGCTGCTCTGCTGCTTGTTGTTTGTGTTTGATGTCTGATCATTTGACAAACATCAGAGTTGCAAATGTAGTTGGAAAGTGTGGAGGTACAGATAACTACAGCAAACCTCAGAACTAGTCCAGCATATAATAATAATAATAATAATAAGAAGAAGAATACATTTATTTTGTATAGCGCTTTTCAAGATACTCAAAGTTGCTTAACAGGGGAGAAGATAAAAACAGGAACAAAACAAGTTGAATAAAAAGCAGATTAAAAAAAACAAGGTATAGAAGGCAAATATAAAATAAAAATGTACAGTTAAACATTAAAAGCGATCTTAAAAAGGTGAGTTTTTAAAAGGGACTTGAATGAGTGGAGGTCAATATCGTTGCAGTTGACGTTTTTTAGTGCACTTACAAACTAAATTGTTTCGTTTATTGTGTGATTATTATCAAAGCACTCGCAATAATAGCGTTTCATCATATCAGCGCCGCAGTGACGAGAATTCGGTCTGACTTTTATTCTTAACAAATCACCACCAAGGATGGATCACTGGTGTGTTGTGTCTGGGTCGTGTGTGGTTTTCTTCTAAATTTCACAGAAAAGCAGAGACGGAGCAGCGACGATGCTGGAGTATTCCCATTGTGGGGACAATGAAGTGCCAGAGCGCCAGGCACCCACACGTCCCAATAGACATGCACACACAGCTGGGCTGTATAGCAGCGCACAATGGAGTATGGATCAGCTCAAAGTCACACGTTCTTTGTTCGAACGCTGAGCTTTTTTTTCCTGCCCAACAGTAATTATGTTTTGTGGCTGATGCTTCGAGTTGTTGAACAGCACGAATGTTTTAGAGTTGAGACGTACGATGATATCTGCATCATAAAAATAAAACATTTCATCAGCTCAGAATGAACATTGACACTCGTCACGCTAACAGCTTCGTTTGAAAAGCTAATTTACCAATAAATGTTGCAGGTTTCCTCGTTTTGCCCACTGATAATAGAAATATGCATAATAATATTTTAATCTGACTACAGGAGATGCCCGATGCAATATGGTAGAAAACAAAACGTGCATATATTGTATCGGCCAAAACGAGCCGAATAGCGTCGACATGACAGCATAGATCCAGAGCCGAGCTTCCCTCTGCTCACGGGGCTGCAGGTGCGTGTGAAAGCGGCTGATAGTAATGCTAGTCGTCCTCCTCCTGTTTCCTCGGCTCCATTAATTGCTCTGCTATCGCCTTTATCAAATGGGGAAAGAGACTCAGTGCGCAGGCCCGCTACGGTGCCAAGCGCAGACACAAAGCAGATTAAGAGTTGGCCATTTCATTATTGATTTTCACCTATGTGTAAAGGAGCCAAGATGTCATCTTTTGGCTGACTGTACTTTTTAATTATTTACACAAGTAAAAAGCTTTCACTCGCTTTTGTCTCCCGTTTGTCTCTGCCCCTCTCTATCCATCCTCATAACTCTCGCTGATTCCCTCTGTCGGGGGGTTTCTCACAGGAATATATTTCTCGCTTTATGTGCACCTAAAATAAATGCACGCCACTTTAAAGCAGCTGAAGTCGTACCTGCATCTGGTGTTTTCACTCCGTCTCACTTTATGAACTTTGACACAGAAGTACAAATAATGGATCCAAATATTTCTTTTTGATTATCTACTTCCTGGTCAGTGTAAATTCATGGCTGACCAGCACTTGTGGGACTTTTTCTGTGCTTCTTTGTGTGTTCAAGGGGTGTTTGTGTGTTTTTTTGGTCGAACAGGACCCGCCCCTTATCGGCCCAATAACCAATACAAGTAAATAATTAGTTACGATTAGATTTGTGTGTAATTTAGCTCGTTCACCGCTGTTTAACAGCTGGTGGGATCAGCGGTTAGCACTGCTGTGCTATCAGTTGACACCTCGGCGAGCTGGAGGTGTGATGTTTGTGGGATCTGACACTGAACTCATGTGTCGCTGTGTTTCTTTTTGATGACCTTTTGTGGATAAACCAAAGTCAGAATGTGTGACTTTGGGTCTGCTTAGTCAACTCACACTTCTTTTTTTGTTGTTTCTGCTCCTCCAGGTGGTTCTTTGGGAAGATTCCCCGTGCCAAAGCAGAGGAGATGCTAAACAAACAGAGGCACGATGGGGCTTTCCTCATCAGAGAGAGCGAGAGTGCACCGGGGGACTTCTCCCTCTCCGTGAAGTAAGTGGCACCTCACAACTGTAGCGCACACGGGGGGGAAACATGAGTCACACTCGATTTAATATTATCTGTACATCAGAGTGCAGCTTCCTCACAACTGATCAGGTTCACAAGTTTCCATACTTGGTATGTTTGAGTCATCAGCAGAGCCACTTCCTTAATCTTGTGAAGTCTCAGCGACGCCCTCTAGTGACCAGACTTGTGACTTTTTGTATCGTGGTGTTGGACTCGAGCCCCACTACTTACTTTTTTCAGCTGACACATACAGAGCTTGTTTCCTCTTATCTGGCTTTGTTCATTCTGTCCTTCCCAAAATTAGGAAGGACAGCAGGGTACATGTAAAGTTGATGCCAAGATACGGATCTTAATTACGGTCTGGACTGTCCCCGTTCCACTTACTCAGCTCGTGTTGAATGTCAGTCTGTTACTCGCCTGCTGATTCATTTGACTAACACTTACTAAGCTGTCCAAGACACGCCCATTTGATGAGTGAGGTCTGAGTATTAAATTACATTCATTCAAATGTGTGCTCTGCCTTTAAAACAACTTTTTTTTTTGTACTCTTAGACGTTGCTGTAGATCCCTTCCTCATAGTTTTTTGTGTGACCTTTCCCAGGTTTGGAAACGACGTCCAGCACTTCAAGGTTCTTCGCGACGGGGCCGGAAAGTATTTCCTATGGGTGGTGAAGTTTAACTCTCTCAACGAGTTAGTGGACTACCACCGCTCCACCTCGGTCTCCCGCAATCAGCAAATCTTCCTGCGAGACATAGAGCAGGTCCCCCAGGTAAGACAGTGAACTCACGCTGGGTTTAAATGACAACAGAGGCAGAAAAACAATAAAAACATGGAGGTCATAGTGTGGTCTCTTTACATCTTCTAGAGAATGGTGAAAGTGTGTTGCACCGTTCTGAGCAGAACCACACATATGCTGACACAGATTTCTGCCCCCAACTCAGATCTCGATCGGGAATAACGCTGCAGAGTGTTATCAGTCGGCTTAACCACATGCGAGCGTGCTGTAGCGACGCTCTCTAGCGCCCGTCGAGAAGTCCCCCAAATAAAGAATCTGTCATTACACTGCGAGCGTAGGAAGATGGTTTCTGATGGTTAGATAAATGTGAGTGGATGAATGTAAGAGAGGGAGAACCAGAAACGAGCTGAATGACCTCATGTGGCTCAATAAGGAGTCAGTTCTGTGTCGTCAGTGACATCAGATGATAGATTTCTGCTAAACGCCGCCACGTTTAGCACATTCCTTCATATACATTTAATTATATTTACTTCTGAGTGAAATATAACGTGAAGATATATGTGTGGGGACAAAAGAATGATTATTATAGCTTCAGGGGTGTGGTGAGGTTTTGGTAACTCAGCCATGTGTGTGTGTGTGTGTGTCTGTGTGTGTGTGTGTGTATGTCTGTGTGTGTGTGTGTGTGTGTGTGTGTGTGCGCGCGCACGGTTCATTGTTCTGAGAATTCATTTGTATACGTAAAAATGTACTTTTCTTGCACCCCGTTTAACATGCTGGTTTACCCCTGAGAGAGGCACCACAGACCACAAGAGGAAGCAGCATGTTCTCATTTTTCTACTGTAAACCTAATGCGGCGCCGACACAGAAACAGCTTCGTTTGTGAGCTGATGAAAATGTAACGCGGTGCCTTCGTGATCGGGCTCCTCGTTAGCGAGAATCCTTTATGGCTTCAATTGAAATAATATCAATAAAGGATCAGTAGTGAGTGACTGATGAGGTCATACCAACACTATGTGCCAACAGGGGGTGATTTTAGAAACTGTGCAGTTTCATCTAAATTACAGAATAATAAAATGTGAAGTTAATTATTTAGCTGCATCAGACGACGTCAGACGAGTGTTGACGTGGTACGGCTTCCCTGAATTTCTGTAGAAGAACGTTGAGAAAGAACTACAAACGCAACACACTCTGCTTGATTTCCACAGAATCGTTACTATGGCAGTTGATTCTGATTGGCTGTCGGGCGATGACTAACTTTTAGCAAGCAGACACCTGTGACGAAGTTAGTGAGACAGACTGGAGGTGATGACGGTCTTCACTAAAAAAGCTCGTAGCCAGGTTTATTTGTGCCATTTATTCCCTCCTCCAAACGCGTATTTTACTTTGATCCGGGTGAATTTTCATTTGCGAGGGAGCAGACTGCAGAATGAGGACAGAGCAGACTTTAGCTGCGGTGAGGCTGCAGATTGCAAAGACTGAGGGACAGCTGCAGGTGACAGAAGAGAGGAAACGTGACCAAAACCGCTCAGAGACTGAGCAGCTGAGAACAAGTTGCAGGTAAGACAGACCGCTAGAGAGCTCATGTGTCTGTCTGTGTGGTCGGCAGTGGGAGGGACAGAGAGAGAGAAATCAGTGTGCGCTGTAGTCTGGAAAGATGTTGTAATGAGATCACATCGGGGGATGCAGCTCGAGTATGAGAGACAACAAATTAAAACTGCATTTTAATCATGATTTTTAATATTTCTCTGTTTTAAAAGTGCAACATGATTCACGATTACACAGATATTTATTGTTACAGCTAGTTAGTGTATATATTTTTACTGTAGTGCATTTATTTGTGTGTATTTTTACTTATATGTTGCTCTTGTTTTACGTTGTACAGTCGTGACTCGATATTCTGACCCTTAACAATCCTAAACCTGCTATCCAACAGGTTTTTAGGAAAAACCAACAGAACCCATAAAAACAGCCTAAACATAGCGACAGCCTTGGATTCTGACTCCGACATGACATTTAATGTCACTAATCAGGATGACGGCGTATTATCTGACTGAACAATCCCACAGATTGGCTACGTTCACACTGCAGGACTTGATGCTCAATGAGGATTTCTTTGTGACTTCCTTCACGTTTCCAGTTCAATGCGACTTGTATGTGATCTGCTGTGTGAACTTCATACGAGCCAAAAGTGTCCCGCATGCGCAGAAGAGGACACGACGACGTCACACGCAGCGAGCGTGCTCAGTGTTTACGGAAGTAAACATGGATGGTAACGGTGGAGCGTATCTGCCACTCCCCCACCGCCACCGATGGAGGAAACAGAAGTGTGAGCGCTAACTAAACTAGCATCAGCAGCCAAGTACTGCCTGTGTGTTCTGGACACTTCCACCCCGTCAGAGCGCTGCCCCGGGGTGGAAGTGTCCCCCGACCAGGACGAATATTCATCATTAATTGGGCCTAAATATCCAGAGACCAGAAAGTTCTATTGGGACCAGTCCTACTAGTTATTATAACAACTATGAACAATAATTAACAACTAATGATCCTTCCAGCATCAAGCCCTCCTCGTATCTGGACCTCCGTCTTGACAATCCGACAGCCTTGCTATCCGACATAGAAGAAGGTTTTACATTTAGTGTCGGATTATCGAGTCACGACTGTATTTATTATTTATTAGGCTTTTTAAAAACCGGGACCTGAGCACCAATTTCGTACCACAAACATGTAAATGTGATCTAAAGTTCCTTGAATAACAATAATGGATGTTGTTCCGTTATCTCCTTGTTGTTTGTGAGATGTTTTTGGCCAGAACATTTCATCCAGTTGTTCAGAAATCAGTGTGGATATTTCAGCGAGCAGCATGTTGTAGCATTCTGTGACTTGATTCTAACCCGTTTCCTTTCATCTTTTGACCCCTCAGCATCCCACATACGTGCAGGCGCTCTTTGACTTTGACCCCCAGGAGGACGGAGAGCTGGGTTTCCGACGCGGCGACTTCATTCAAGTCCTGGACAACTCTGACCCCAACTGGTGGAAGGGAGGCTGCCACGGCCAAACGGGCATGTTCCCCCGCAACTACGTCACGCCCGTCAATCGGAACATGTAAACAGTCAGACCATGTAAACAACAACAACAACAACAACAGCCACAACAGCAACCATCACCACCACCACCACTTCCACCACCTCCACCATCATCATCATCATCATCGTTCTTGATCTCATCAGCCCCCCTTCCAACCCCCAACCACCCCTCCACCTCTCGTGGCCATCCCACAGTAACAGGAGCAGACAGGAAGAACGCAAACAACTGAAAGAGAGAGAGATAAAACAGGAGTAGTGCTGTCGTAGGCGTCGCTATGTGGGTGGCAGCTGAGCAAAAAAATCAACTTTTATTTGTGCTGAGAAGGTTCGCCTCCCCAGTGAGCGCCTCAGCCAGGATTGAACTGTCTTTGAGGGAAATCTAAATGCAGAGAAACTAAGCATAGTGCACCAACCGTGAAGATAACCAAATGATTTCTACCGCTCCCACAGCTGCTTCTGTCTTCTCCTTAACTTCTTAACATTCTGCCTTTCTTTTGTTTTTCTTTCTTTGCCGCATGTTGTTTTAATCACCTAAATGAAATGCCTACCGATTAAAATCCTAACTCTGTTTTAAAGAAAAAAGCATAAAAAATATAAAAAAGAAGAAATGGTTTAAAAAAAAATGTACAAAAAAAAAGAAGAGATGAAACAAAATGATGCCATCAACAATACAACAAGTTTCCATGTTTAAGATCATTGGCACGTGAGCATTGTACATCAGCCGCTGGCTGTATAAATAAATCAAGTATAGAGAGAATCCATTTTTTAAGAATATATATTATATATTTGTATGTGTTTGTCTGTTTTACCTCTCATCACAAATTGTGTTTTTGTTTTTTTTTTCCATTTGTAAATTATGTTCAATCTTCTGTTAGTCTGGATAAGACCTAGTAGCTCTAGAATGTGCTGAATTGTCAAGTTTGGTTTTTTTTTTCCTTTTTTATTTCAAAAACTATCTGAGGGCTCTCGGATAAATACAGCATGACATTTAAGGGGTCATAAGTTCCATTTGAAAAAAAGGTTTCTCTTGTCTACAACGCAAAGAAAGTAAAGTTAGTTCTCTGAGGAAACTGTCAGTACGCTGATGTCGACCAGCAAGTAGAGCCATGAATGCTGCAAAAGCTGTATTACGAAGCCCTGTGTAAAGGTCAGCCACCTTTTTTGAAAGCCAATATATTTATTGCAGCCATTTTACTTGGGCAGTGAATGTAGCTGACTGAGTCTATAGACGTAAACATGAGGGAAGCAAGGTCGGAGAACTGAACCACACAACCACGCAAGGGATTTTAAAAGACATGCTGAAAAAGAAGCGATGTTCACGTAGAGCGAGCGCGGCGTCTGAGGAAATGTACAGGCAGTTAACATGCATACTCAGAACACACACATTCATTACATGCATGCATACACAGACGCTCTCCTCCTTGTTATACCTGCACGTAGCAGCGAGGCTGAGTTTGGATAATCACATCGTGTTAATCACCAGTGCAGATCTGCAGCTGGCACAGTTCAGAAAAACTGAGAGATTGTCTTTTATGCTAAAAGTTGAGAGATCAGCTTCAATGATGTAAAAGATTTTTTATTTTTTTTTATTTTACTTTTTGTCCAATGTGGCGTGTGGTCAAGCACTTTTTTTTTCTTTTTTTTTTTTGTCCAACATTTTGATTTTTCGGTCTGGTCCAGTGTGTGTTTGTTTACTGTGTTTGTGTTATTGTTGGTTTCTTGTTCTCTCTGGATAGTGCCTTTCTCTCTGGTGTTTCAGTGTCTCCGACCTGCTACTTTGAGCCCCCTTTCCCTTTACTGGGGCCTGCCAGTCCTGCAGTGAGAAACAGTGTACATAATCCAAGATGTCCCATCCAGCAACACCCTTCCTCCCTACCTACCTTCCCTTCCTCCGCCCACATCCACCCACCTCCACCTTTGCCCTCACCAACATGGAACTCTTCTTATTTAAGTGTCTCTCGCCTTGTCTTACCTAATGATACTGTTTTGTTTTTGCTCTTTTTTTTTTTTTTTATTTGCATTTGTTTTTGTTTTTTTTGTTTTTGTTTTCAATTAATAAAATGCAATTATTAAAAAATGCGAATATTTTTTGTGGTCTGTATGTTTTTCTCCACTAGAGGGAGCTGTTCAGTCACCGTCTGAATAATGGCTCAACATGTGAGTTTAAGTGACCGTATTAGAGCTTTTTAAACGGCTGTTTTCTGTGTGTCATGTTTAAAGGATCAACACAAAGGGCGTTTAAAGGACTACTTTGTCATTTTGGGTATTCAGATTGGTGCCACTTTCACAAACAGATGCATCGCTGGAGCCGGTAGCTGCTTAGCGTAGCGTAGCGAGGAAGTAGTCTGGCACATAAACACCCAACCAAATGGCAAAGTAACCTTGTTGCACTGTGGTTCTGGTACCAATTATACAGAAGAGGTATAATCTTGATTTTGATTCTGTTGTTTGCAGCGTCTGTGCTAAGCTAAGTGAAGCGGCTGCAGGCTCCAGTTTAACATCCCCACATCTGGATAATTTAGTTAAAAATAGCACTGAAACGTACCGACGTTTAACCCTTTGTTGATTTTGTGAAATGCTTGAAAAATGTCTTTATGGGGTGGGTATGAAAAAGTCAGCAGCTGTTACTGTCTTTGCCTGTAGGTGGCGTGTCCACGTTCAGCAAACTGCTATTGT